AAATATAACAATTATATATAATACGAGGGCGGTTTGATAAGTCAGTGACTTTTTTAATTAAACAAATTTTTTCGGGAAATAAACATTTTAATTTCCTACATAATCACCTTTTAGCTCGATACATTTAGTCCAGCGTTTTTCTAATTTTCTTATTCCCTCCAAATAATAGATTTTCTTAAAGCTCTCAAAATACGTGTTTGTTTCGGTAATGACTTCTTCATTCGACTTAAATCTCTTACCGCCCAGCCATTTTTTTAGGTTTGGAAACAGAAAATAGTCGCAGGGGCTAATTCTGGCGAATATGCTGGATGGGGTAGCAGTTTGTATCCCAATTCGTGGATTTTGGCCACGAATGCTTAATCACCACACGAAATTCACTTTTTTCCATTTTCATAAAAATTCAAGAGGTTGTCTGCTTTGAACGTCTATCAAACACCAACTGAACGACGTAGCTTGCTCAAAATTAAAAAGTTGCCCACTGGTAGATTACAGCTGAACGCAGCACTGTTGCATTTGGAGTAACTGCGCGGAAAATTCAAAAAGTCACTGACTTATCAAACCGCCCTCGTATATAAAACATCCCGAAAACCTTTTTAATAGCACGCAAATATAAATATAGTTATGAAAACAAAAAAAATTCGTACATATATTATTTCAAACAAGCCAACGTATAACATGCTATAATACTTCTAATTGCAGACTCTTGCTATTCTAAAAAACGAAACATCAGAAGTAAAAAATTTTAGTATTGAACGAAATTATATAGTCTCCGACCTTCAAAAGTACTAGGTGATTATGCTAAACAAAATGCCTATCAACGTGACTGTATGTAGGAAAAGATAAAGCATACTTTCTTCTGAAAATACGTTTTTAACAGCATTATTACTATGACAAACTAGATCCATAGGCATTAAAAATTACTTTACAATAACGTAATTAGCATTTATTCTATATATGGTACATATTTTATATTATAATCTTGAAATTATTTTTCAAATAAAGTATTTTATATACCCAAGTACTGTTGCAAAAATACATGTATCTTATAATTGCATAAATGAATTAAAGTTAGTTTAGTTTCCGCAAAACCATTCCATATATAAGCTCAAAAACTTTTTTGATATATCAATCTCTTATATAAAATACATAACTTAATGAAAATATGAATTATGAATGTATACATTTTGGTTGAAATTGTCTGCAAAGTTTTTGCCATAATGTAATAATGCTCGTCAGAGTTTATTATTAACAAAGTTCTTTCCCAGGATATAAATTAAATGTGTGATTATGTGGTTTTTGTTAAAACTTTTACAGCATTAGATTTGCTATTTTATTTCATGTCAAAAGGATATAAATTGTCTAAAATTATGATTGCATTGCGAAAATGCAAAGAACAGCTGGGCCCAAAAAAGAGAAAGAGGATATTAGTAACAGCTGAAATTATCATTAGGTGAAAAAAAATATACTGAAATATTAAGGATCTCGAATAAAAATACAAGAGCAAGTTAAAATTATCAAGACATCAAGTTTTAATCCAGAATATAAGATTTGATGATGAATATGTGCATTCAAAACTTGGTCGATTAGCAGAGACTTGACAAAATTTTAGAATTCAAACAAAGAATATTCAATATTAGTTTCTTGCAAACCAAGCGTTGGGAGCTAGAACCCCGTTCATTCCTATACTTGCAAAGCAAGAAGACCTGAGTATGCATCCTCATATAAGAGACAATTGTATGTGAAGTTATATATGTTACTCAGTTTATATTCTCACAGTGGAAAAAGCGTAACATCCAGTTTTTGCAATATTTCCAAAAATAAAAACAACAAGTCCCTAAATCAATTGTATTGTCATTTGTAAATCAAAATATTTAAGCGCACGCATACCTCAATCTAAATCAATTCTGTTCTATTATTTTTTTTTTGATTTCAAAGTCTCAGTGCTATCACTGTAAAATGTCTCAATGATGCTTTCTAAAGTGCCCAATGTCAAAATTAAAAACATGAATGTTTCGAAGTCAAAACTTTCAATCAAAGGCACTTAATGTCAAAATTATACGCCACAGCCTACAAAATACAAAACAGAATCCTTACTCCTTTGTCGACTGCTTGCAGTGTATGAATGACTGAAATTTCACATGTCTATTGCCATTCCATTGTTATCATGATACCAATGATGCACATTGTTTGCTTTTCCTTCAGAATACGAAATACTGCAAAATGCTATAGCAATTCATTCGTCAAGTGTGCCACTCCAAGTGATTTCTCAGTGGCACTGTCTTACTAGTTACCAGCACTAATACAACACAATAGGATTTAGCCCTAAACAAAATATGTCATATCGAAAATTGTACAGAAAATTCAATTTAAGTTAGAAAATTTTGAATACTATTTCTAATTTCAATCATATATGTATTATGTGAAGTTTTATTAAATTATGATAATATTTTAATTATCAAAAAGAACTCAACTATTTAAACCACAAAAAAATAGACATATTTTTCATATAAAAATATTAAATTATCTTACACAGAACACAACTTTCTTTAAACACGGTTTGCACTGCAATTGTGAATGTGCCTCATATACATATAGAATTATCTATGATAAAAACGTATAACTATATGCGAGAGGCTATGCCAGTGGTACAACCAAAATTTCATCAAAGGGATCCATGCTGTTAAAATTTCACAGAAAATGTAGACAGTTTAAACCAATATTTTTTCCTAACCTGAAATATTTATCAATCTTTTATTGTGTTACAACCGCTGTTCATTTACATCTGTCTCTATAATATCTTTATGTGCCAACCGATCCATTATCTTAGGCATTATCTTAGCTACGATTATTAATCTTGTTTAATGATTAAGATAATTCATTTTAATCATCATAACTACATTTAACTAGGGATTTTTCGGTTATCCAGGGTCGGAAACCATATTGGTGAAGATTTCTTGAACGTTTTACCGTACTTAGGTCGTGTGCGAGTTAGGCTAAGTTGCGTTCTAAATGAGGGAAATTCTAAGTTGTGTCGATAATGTATTGATTAGTCGATACGTGTTGATAAATGGCTAAATGTGTGCAGTGCAAAAAATCCCAAAAAATCTCCCATTTGGTTTAGCATCAACTTAGCCTAACTCGCACACGTCCTTAATACGAACGACCTGGGTTCGTAAATTTTTTTTTTTTTTTTTTTTTTGCTTCCCTTTATTATACAGCTGCCAAGATTTAGCATTTAGTATACATTTTTACATAATGGAACTTCAAGTAATAATTCAAAAACAAGATTAAGAATTACATGAGTGAACTATTAATAGTGGATAAAAAGAAAACTTTTCTTTAAATTATATAAACTAAGTATTATAAAATAATTAAAATTAATGGATAGATGATATAATAAATGAGTCAATTAAATAGACTGCTATGAATTTACTATGAATATATTAGTTAGTTTGCTAGTTCTGATGGAAATAAGCGTTTCAATCTTCTGTTATGTGTGGCTTCGTCATTAGGTAGCTGCCTCATTGTTGGGTTAGGATGGAAAAGTAATCTGTCTGTGTGCTTTTTACTATTTTTTCGGATAACGTCTGCAACGAAGGGTATCTTTAAATCGCGATGAATGTCATAGTTTGAGATATACCATTCAGCGTTGATGATAGTCCTAAGTATTTTTGATTGCAGTCTTTGCAGTATTTGAATGTTGGATTTACATGCTGT